GTGAGAGTGAGTGAGTGAGTGAGTGAGTGAGTGAGTGAGTGAGTGAGTGAGTGAGTGAGTGAGTGAGTGAGTGAGTGAGTGAGTGAGTGAGTGAGTGAGTGAGTGAGTGCGTGCGTGCGTGCGTGCGTGCGTGAGTGAGTGAGTGAGTGAGTGAGTGAGTGAGTGAGTGAGTGAGTAGGTGAATGAGGGAGTGAGTGAGCGAGCGAGCGGTGACAGCGTTGATCAGTACGAGGGGGTGTGTGCGGAGTGAATGAGTGTAAACTGGAGTGCGTTGATCAGTGCGGGTGAATGCAGCCACCGCGATCTTCGATGGGGTGTGTGCGGAGTGAATGAGTGTGAACTGAAGAGCGTTGATCAGTACGGGTAAATGCAAGCGACGCACTCGTTCCCAATCATGATTCGTCGACTCGCAGCGAACTCGGAATTTTTTTAGTTGTTTCGTAGCGACAGCGGCATGGGGAGTGATATCCAGCGGCCATGCTAGGCGTTCGTGTATGTATGTGTGTGTTCATGCAATTGTGTATCGTTATGCGACCGACGCCGCACTGGCGATGGTGTGTTGATGGTTTGTTGATTGTTCGCTCTGTCGCAATACAAGAGACATCGCAAACAACGCATACATCGTCGCACTGCTGCGTGCAGGCGGTGACATCCGAAACGATGTCATATTAAACAGCGGGTCACGAACTGCCGTGTCGTGCCGTGTCACAATAGCAGAAGATGTGAGCGCGCCGTACCGCTACCGCGAGTTCTACCGCCCGTACGCCTAAGCTTTTTTTTCGTAACCACGGCAACCGCGTATCCCGCGTGCGGCGTGTACCTGTGAGCGTTTGTCTCTCGGGCAGCTAGACAAATAAGCGCTTGGCAGTTGATTTGCCCGTGAAAACAGGCATCGCACCGCCGCTGTTGACACTGTGCGGAGCGGAAAATGGAGAACATTACATGCCGCAATCAATGTCCCAATTGTCGCGCCGCGAATCAGTGATGATGATATATACTAAACTGCGAATGTTTCTCCCAGCTATTGTTATTGTGTGGCCTGATGTGTTTTAATTGTCATCATCGTGCGGCGGGAGAATGAGGCAGGAAGGGAGAGACGTGTCAGGAAATCAGGGTGCTTGTTGTGGACTTCTGCCCCCCCCCCCGCAAATTGTTCGCTTCAAAATTTACCAAATGTAGCAAAAAGAGAATTTCGTGAGAAGCAATCAACGTTTGTCTATTCACGAGACTGCTGCTGACATCGAATGTCAGTGTAGCTATTTGTTTATTGTAATTTATCGGTCCTTTTCCATATTTGTGTGTAACCGTGACGCAATTCGATAAACGATGCTGGCTAAACATTTAAATACAAAATAATGGATGTCTATCGGGATACTTTGTGGGGATACAGGAATTCAATCTCAGTACCGTAACTAGGCCATAATAAAAATATTGTTTGTTTGCCCTCACCCGACCGACCCGCCAAAAAAGGGCCGACTCAAAAAATTTTATTAATCTTTCTCATTCTTTTTTTACAAATTGTATTACTGTACATTATATAAATCTGTAGGCAATACATTATATGTACCAAGCAAAACAAACATTCAGCATAAAAGGTATCTCCACACAAGCACACACGAGCATGTCGACACCATGCTGAATTTGTAAAAAGACCCTGCGTAAAAAAAGTATAAAGCCTACCTATCTATCCAAACCTTTCAGCCTGGGTCCGGTGAGGGCAAACAAAAGATTTTTTAATTGTGGCCCTAACTTGACGAGGATATGATAACACAACGATGACATCAACACGGGCGGTAATGGCAGGTGTTGGTTGTTCTACACTATATTTGCCACTCTTCGTCTATTATAACACTCGCGTGCATGCTAGAAGAAAGGCAACTGACAGTTAAAGCGTGTACAAATATAAAATAGCCAGCGAATTGATGTGCATAGCGGCAGTGTGGGTTATATATATATAGATATATATCAGGGGTTAATAATGACAAATTGTCATGTCAATTGACAATTGTCATGTCATTGACAATTGACAAATTGTCATTATTAACCCCTGATATATATATATAAATTGTAGTCTGTAGATAAATTAAAGACAAGACATCACTTATAGCTGTTACTCCGAGTTTCACGATTACGCGATCATCATATATCACGTCATTTATCCGTGGTATTGTTGGTTATTCCATGCCACATGGTCGTGGCATAATTACTAATTCTATTCCGTGAATCCATAGCATAATTCGTAAACGAATCGCGCATGTCGGCATTTTTTTTATTCATTGTTTTGCGTCACTTATCTGTTGCAGCTTGGCCGATCAGATGCGATTGCTGCAGTTTGAAACGTGGCTGGAGCTGCTGAGGGAGGTCTTCAGGATTCTAGTGGTGCTTCTCACTAGAATACAGGTGGGCAAAGCGGAATATAATTCAATTATTTAATTGATTAATATTAACTATTACACTGTTACTATGATACTGAAAACTGGCTATTATAGTGTTGTGTTTAGGTTTTACCCGTAGTCACGTTAAGGAAGAGGAGAGAGAAAAAATAAGGCAAGAGAGAGAAAGAAAGAGAGGAGACAGGGAGTGACAGAGAGAGAGAGAGAGAGAGAGAGAGAGAGAGAAAGAGAGAGAGGGGGAGCGAGATAGAAGGCAAAAGAGAAAGAGAAGAGGAAAGAGGAAGAAATCGCGAAAGAGAGAGGGGTGTTGGTGGGAGAATGGGGGAAAGAGGAAGAGGGATACATGAATTAACATTAAACTGTTGCACGTCATGGCAGGGCGTGAGAGACATGATGCAAGACGTCGTGCACATATCTGCCGGCAAGGCGCGCGTGCATGGCAGCCTGAACAAGTCGAACAACTGTGATCAGTGGCCAGCAGAGGGGGGCGCCACTGCAGCCGGCATCACACCAGAGGCCGCACACGTGCACGTACCCATGTAATACACGATAACCGCTTCTTGTTTACCTCGTCTATTTGTTTTACATAAACGAGAGAATTATAGTGTCTACCTTCTCTGAAACCATTGCATCTTGCAATTGCTTTGTTGTACTGTATCGCAAATTATAACTGTTATATTTGTTGTACTGTATCACAAATTATAACTGTTATATTTGTTGAACTGTATAACAAATTTTTGCCAGTGCAGGGTCTGTCAATTTCATGCTGACTACGTCGTAGTAGAGACGTATAGAGAAGCTGAAAGGTAGCATGTAAGAATCTGCCACTGCAATGCTACGAGACGCGTTTGAGGATTCGTCGTGAGATAATATTTACTGATCAGGTATGATGAGGGCTGCATCTTTCCATTCGGCGGGGGGGGGGGGGCGCGGGGGGGGGGGGCGGGGGCGGGGCACCATCTTTTTTTTTTTTTTTTTTTTTGTTTTTTTTGTTTGGGCGGGGGGGCGGGCGGGCGCGGGGCGGGGCGCGGGCGGCGGGGGGGCGGGGCGGGCGCGCGCGGCGGGGGGGCGCGGGCGGGGGGGGCGGGGGGGCGGCGGCGGCGGGCGGGGGGCGGGGGGGCCGGGCGGGGGCGGGCGGCGGGGGGGGCGGGGGCGGGGGGGCGGGGGGCCGGCGCGGGGGCCGCGGGGGGGCGGCGGCGCGGGGGGCGGGGGCGGCGGCGCGGCGGGGGGGCCCGGGGCCGGGGCGGGGGCGGGCGGCGGGGCGGCGCCGGGGCGGGGGGGCGGGGCGGCGGGGGGCGGCGGGGGGCGGGCGCGGGGGGCGCGCGGGGCGGGGGCGGGGCGGCGGCGGCGGGGCGGCGGGGGGGGCGCGGGGCCGGCGGCGCGCGGCCGCGGCGCGGGCGCGGGCGGGCGGCGCGGGGGCGGCCGCCGGGCGGCCCTGCGCGGGGGGCGGCGCGGGGCGCGCGGCGGCGGGGGGGGGGCCGGCCGCGGGGGCGCGGGGGGGGGGCGGGGGTGGCCGGGGCCGGGGCGGCGGCGGGCGGGGGGGGGGCGGTGGGCCGGCGGGCGGCGGGCGGGGGGGCGGCGGGCGGGGGGCGGCGCCGGGGGGCGGGGCGGGCGGGCGGCGGGGCGGGGGCGGCGGGGGCGGGGGCCGGGCGGCGGCGCGGGGGCGGGGGGGGGCGCGCCGCGGGGCGCGGGGGGGGGCGGCCGCGGGGCGCGCCGGGCCGGGCGCGGGGCGGGGCGGGCGGCGGGGGGGGCGGCGGCGGGGGGCGGCCGGGGCGGGGGGGGGGGCGGGGGGGGGGGCGGCGGGCGGGGGGGGGCGGGGGCGGGCGCGGGCCGGGCGGCCGCGGCGCGGCGGCGGGCGGGGCGGCCGGGGGGGCGGGCGGGGGCCGTCAAAAAAAAACCCCCCCCCCCCCCCCCCCCCCCCCTTTTTTTTCTTTTTTTTTCCCCCCCCCCCCCCCCCCCCCCCCCCCCCCCCCCCCCCCCCCCCCCCCCCCCCCCCCCCCCCCCCCCCCCCCCCCCCCCCCCCAACCCCCCCCCCCCCCCCCCCCCCCCCCCCCCCCCACCCCCCCCCCCCCCCCCCCCCCCCCCCCCCCCCCCCCCCCCCCCCCCCCCCCCCCCCCCCCCCCCCACCCCGGGGGGGGGGGGGGGGGGGCGGGGGGGGGGGGGGGGGGGGGGCGGGGGGGGGGCGGGGGGGGGGCGGGGGGGGGGCGGGCGGGGGGGGGCGGGGCGGGGGGGCGTCACCGCTGTCTGTCTCACAGGGCAGCTGAGGTGGACGTGGTCATAACGGAGTCGGAATGTACGAAGCTGACGTCCAGCCTGCGAGACATGCTGTGCTCACTCTGCGACACCGCGCACGACCGCTGCACAAAGCTGCTGACCGCAAAGGCAAAGGTGAGATCGTGGCCGCGACTAGCCGAAGCTCTCTCGTTTGGTTTATGCAAGTATGCTTCGTGAAATCTTTCGCGAATTGACTGGTGTGTGGACGTCTCATGACACATCTATGGACGCGCGCATGCACGCACGTACGCACGCACGCAACGCACGCACGCACGTACGCACGCACGCACACACACATTGGATTTATTGGCCTTTTTTCAGGCACCTTAGTTCTTTATGACATTCATCTATTTATCCGACATTTTGTTCTGGTTTTTGTTATTATGTGAAATGTTGACTAACGAATTTTTTATTATGCTTCTATTGGCATATTCTACATCATGACACATTGACAAATAGTTATTAGTATTATCCAATTTGGAGATATTTGCAGATAGTGGAGTGACGAATTAGGTTATGTCATTCGATTTTTTCACAGATTTCATTGCAGCTCTGTCACTTTAGCACGCGTTGACCAATAATAGATTTCTAGGGGGAATCTAGGCGAACTGTCTATGAATGTACACCACAATTATTTACAAAATGTACAGATGGTGATGATGTGCAGTATCCTGCAATCAATAGTGCTATGCAGCAGTAGTATAGCAATTTAATGCAGTGTATATAGTGCATTGCTATAGGCAATTTATTGCAGTGTATATATAGTGGCAGCGCTACAGCAATAATAGTTGGTGCAGCATAAGGTTATGCTGCAGCACAACATAATGAAAGCGAAGCAGCGGCGCGCGGTGTGCACGCAATGGCCGCCGCTTCCACGTCGTCTGTTTGTCGTGGATCTCTTTT